ATGGTCAGGGCAAAACATCCCATACTGATATTAGCACCTTTTAACACGTAACGATTTCCCTGTGAACTTCACCTTACGGTAATTCATTATTTACACTCCTTTTTGCAATGAGAGATCTCTTATCGCTAGTCCTACTTATGGCCACAATTGAGCCCAAAATTTCTGTTGCTAAGCGAGGCAGTTGTTAAGTGAGATTTGCCCCCTTTTACAACCTTTCTTGCCACAGTTGTTCAGTGAATTGCTGCACTTGTCAAGTTAGTAACACAGTTGTTAAGCGAATCTGCCTTCCTCCGTTGAATTTGCTTGTCAGAAGGTTGCAAAAGAATGAGAATAGAATAGAATAGAATAGAATAGGGAATAGAATAGAAAAGAAGAGAAGAGAACATAGAAGAGAAGAAAAGAGAAGAGAAGAAAGAGAAGAGGGAAGAGAAGAGAAGCAAAGAGAACATAATAGAATAGAAGAGAAGAGAAGAGAATAGGAAATAGAATAGGGAATAGAAGAGAAAATAGAATAGAATAGCATAGAATAGAATAGAATAGAATACAGAAGAGAATAGAAGAGAGAATAGAATAGAATAGAAAAGAAGAGAAGAGAAGAGAACATAGAAGAGAAGAAAGAGTATAGGGAATAGAAGAGAAGAGAAAAGAAGCAAAGAGAACAGAATAGAATAGAAAATAGAAGAGAAGAGAATAGGGAATAGAATAGGGAATAGAAGAGAACATAGAATAGGATAGAAGAGAAATGAACATAGAAGAGAAGAGAATAGGGAATAGGGAATAGATGAGAAGAGAAGAGAGGAGAACATAGAATAGAATAGAATAGAATATGGAAGAGAAGAGAATATAGAAGAGAAGAGAACATAGAATAGAATAGAGAAGAGAGGAGAACATAGAAGAGAAGAGAAAAGAAGAGTAGAATAGAATAGAATATGGAAGAGAAGAGAAGAGAGAAGAGAAGAGAACATATAAGAGAAGAGAAGAGAAAAGAAGAGTAGGACAGAATAGAATAGAATAGAATAGAATAGAAGANTAACCACTGCGCCACCTCGGCTCCTCATTCATCTCCAGGAAAGTAGAGCCAGAAATGAAACCAAGGACATTTCCCCCAACGTACCTGGACTTCCCCAACACTCAATTCTCTGTTGACATCATATTGGATGATAAAATCTGCTAGAATGCCATTCCTGCTGATCGCGGCTTGTTGAACAAAGTTGGGATTGAAGGTTACTTTAGCCAACGTCTTTGTCTGGCCAACCACAGTTGAAGGAGGTGGAGTTGGGTGATCTGTTGAGGAAGCACAGCGTTTTATTATTTTTATTTATTTCTTTTCTTTTTCAATGTATTTTATTCTCCTATCTGGTCTACTCTCATTTTATCCACTCACCTTTGGTGCTGCCTTCTCCCTTGCCTTTGTTGTTTTGGAGGGGCAGAACTTCCAAAGAGTTAATTCCCGAATTCTCGAGGATGTTGACCTCCACACGTAACTTGGCCACCAGCTGCTGGGGTCGGATGCTGACCGTGTATTGATACTTCCCCAACCGTCTCCGTAGCAGCTCCTCATAATGCAGGATGAAGGTGGCTTCCATCTTCCGGGGAATTAATCCAGAGGCTTTGAAGGTCTCCATTTGGCTTTCTCTGCTGGAAGAATTCAATGGCTGCTTAGAGACACATTGTCAACCCTGAAGCAAACCATATTCGTGGCTTCATGGTTGCCACAAGGCAGAGGGGAAGAAAGGGAGGAGGAAAATTTAGACAGCTCGGCTTTGCCGTCCAAATAAAAAGTTTTCCTGTAGGAACCAAGGACATTCCAACAGGTGACTGAGGAGAGGAGGAGGAGAGTAACCAAGCAACCTCTATTGGACAATGTGACTGAGGACCTGGGAAGAAGGGAGTGTCAGACCTGGAAGCCATCTTTTACATTGGGCCTTCAGGCCTGCCACAATTTTCTACTGTGGGAAAATGGGAGGGGGGATTATATGGCGTATGGGAAAAATATAGACTAAATATCATTCCTCTCTGAGAGAGTCAAGGACACCATGTCCTGCAGCTGCGATGGTGTGACTGGGAGGCATCTCCAGTTTTGGGCGGTGTTTGATTGGACAGTGTGATGGACATGTGGGTGCTGGGCAGGGACTTGAACTTTCACTTGGTGGGGAAAACCTGGAAACTTTCAGATTCGGGTTTTCCCAGTTGTGCTAATATGACATCTCTAATAAAATTTTTGGGGGAAAAACGGGCTGTTTTTCAGAGTTTTGCAGAGTGCAAAAACTTTTTTTTTTAATTTGCCTCTTCAAAACCTAGGTGAGTCTTATACTCCGAAACACACGGTAATAACAGATGTTTGAAAACAGAGCGTCCTCGACCTTTTCTTATACCAATGAGAATCAAGGCAGGGTTACTTTGATCTTCA